TCTGCACCTTCGTGTGACACGCTGCGTGCGAAGGAGGTACCGGAACATTGCCCGCTCTTTGAGCGGGCCTGTCCGCTCGCACGTGGCGTCGCGTTCCAGACAAAGCTTCGACGTGCCCTCGGGCTGGTCGACAAGGAGGCCCATCAAAATAATGTTCATGTCACCCATCGTTCTCGATGTATTTAAAAGTATTGAAATTACGTGACGGTAATAGCTGTGGAGTTTTTTGTTTTTGTGGAAATGCCCCCACGGCTGTTTGATTGGAGGTTTTACCCTCCAGAATTGCATCGAATAAGCCTGAATGAGGGATTCTAGAGTTGAAATATATATATTTTTACATTGCGGTAAATGTGGCAGCCACCATTAGCTGCCAAGGTCAAGTACTCCCATTATATGCAATGTGCGCTAATTTGAAATGCATTTGTTCTTACAAACGTGATTTGATATGACGTATCATGAGCTTAAAAATTGATGCCCCTGTAAGCCTCAACCACGACATGCCTAGCTTGACACTATATTTATTCTCGCAAATTTAAATGTTATATAGCGTGACTGATGTTAATCCCAGTGACCCGTAAATTGTCTGCTTATGGAGCACCCATAAGTCGTTCAAATAACACAAATCCACGGTGGAGCGGTGGTGCAGTGATTAACTCACTGCGCCATGAGCCGTGGCTGAAGTCTGTGTCGAGTGATAGCTCACCCGGTAGTTGACCCCCTAATGCACACTGACCAGCATGGCCATGCACGGTCAAACAACTCGCCACTACTGCTGATGCCGAATGGGAGGTCTTCATTCAGCAGTCGATTGACATGGCCGACATTGAAACATTATTAATATAATGATCGAGTCTCTTTTCTACACAACGGGATAGGTGGCGGATGCTGCAGTGGCTCGTCGCTTTAATTTGTCCCTAAAGCTACGACGAGGGCATGGCTCCTTCGCCGGGCCGAGCTCACTCGGCGGACCCCTCAGTAGGTGTGGACGTTAATAATTATCGGCCCCTCCGGGTGGATATTTATGAACTGGCCGTGAACCCTGCTCATTGGGAATTCTGCAGCGCCGCCGCCTCTAAGCGCCGTGCCACTGAACGAAAGGAACGTGGCGGAGAAGCTGAGAGCGTACGGACCAAGGAAAAGGTTAATGATCGTCGCGGAGGGAAGTCTCCTGGCATTTCTCATGTGCGCATAAATATTTACGGTCTGGCACAACCAGGGGGCGGCTGCCAGATCCTTGGATGAGGATCTGTCCCGGCAATTAGACGGCGCTCGCCGAACTCGCGTATGAACCCTGCTGTTTTGTTTTCCACTATTTTGGGAGGCTTCAGGAACAGGTGCACGCATATATAATCCCTTTGTTGCTTCTCTATGGGTTTTATTCGTCTCACTTGATAGTCTGGCTGGTGCGCACGCGTGTGTGTCTTTACTTGGCCTGTTGCTCCGTGCGCTTTGCTGTCTGGGGGACGGTGGCTCCTGCGGTAATCGCGCTGCCGCGACTGCACATGAAAGACCCGAGTTCGATTCCCAGCCGCGGCTAACGTTGGTGGCGAGGTTTATCCGAATCCATCCTCAGCCTCCAATAGGTCGCCTTGAAATGAGTTCGACCTGGCACGGTGTGGAAACATCGTCACTGGGGAGATGAAGGTGGCTGGTTGTGTTGCCGGCCACACCATCCCCTGGAAGATCACTCAAGCTTTCTGTTCAAATAAATGCACGTAAGGAATAGGCTGACAATATTTCATCCACAGAGTTCATGCTGTTGTTTCATTATAATTATTTCACAACAGATGATCATTTTCTGGATTGGAATGCATCTGTGAGGACGCACAGTCCAGTGAGGAGATGGCATGGACAAATTTGTTCGTGGGAAGGCTCGGTGAATTAGTACATCGCAGGATCGTGAGAGATGATGACGATAATTAGTTTTTTACCCTTTTAACTGGCAACAAAACTGACACCTTTTTTACAAGGAGTCATGTTTGCATAGACCACAATACCTGGCAGTCGGAATGCAAACAAAAAACATAATTCTGATAATGTATGCACTGTCCTTGAAATTGATTGGTCCACACCCGAGACAGCTTTCCTTAGAGCCTAGTCTCACATACATTATCAGAGTTATGTTTTTGTTTGCATTCCGACTGCAGGTATTGTGGTCAATGCAAACATGACTCCTTGTAAAAAAGGTGTCAGTTTTGTTGCCAGATAAAAGGATAAAAAAACAATTATCATATTTTGCTACTGGCAAATGAGGTTCCAATGGTGATGATGACGATGTTGACATTATATTGGATTGACCCTTTTTATTCCTTGGATTATTTCACCAGTATTTCCCACAGGTAGTGCACAATTAAAATCGTCACATGTTCAGAGAATTTGCCTTAAACCAATTGGAAAAGATTTTCAGGAAGCATGAGTAATTATCCACTCAACCGTAAACAAACACAGCCATCTATAAAGACTGAGCGGGAAAAAATCACGTGGAGAGTTGGGCTGCTGTATATAGCCCACACAGTTGTGGCTATTGCAAGGCCCTGACGTGCAGGCATCGTGATTTAAAAAGTGACAATGTTTTATTTCGCTCGGACGTGTGTGTGCATTAGTGAAACGAGGCAACTGCACCCACGCACGTAATGCATTCAGGTCATGGCGCTGCTTCGTTCAGCGTGTGCCTGTCCGACGTTTCGCTCCACGTACTGGGGGGCCTTCTTCAGGAACTGAAAATGCGTCGGACAGATTCTCAGACAGCACACGGGTGCATGTCATAATCACGCCGGACAGCTCGACGGCACACTGCTGGATGAAGGCCTTCCTTGGTAAAGCAGTTGCTGTGGGCTGAAGAACTAGTTTAGATATCACTCGCCACTCATGTTATGAGTGCACTGACCTAGCTAATTGGTGTTGCGGGCACTGCAGCTGCACCAGGTCTCAATGGGCCGGTGGGGCCCAGGCATGAAGAGGGGTGGAAATTGACAGGCAGACAGCCCCGTGGAATTCCTCGCGCGAAGAGCCCATGGCCATCCACGCGACACCACCGTATCCATGGCTGGGAAAAGAAACTCCGGTTGCCAGATTTATACGCGTATGGTAGAGCTCGGCTATCTGTGAGAAGTCTGATGACTGAAAATAGTGGGATAACACGAATGTAGTCGGAAAAAAAAAGTCTCACCTCTGTTCACATGTATGCCGCTGGACGGGAGGTGATGGCCAAGGCTTGGTGATGTCAGAATCATCATCATCATCATCATCAGTTGGACGTGGATTGTCGGGGATATCCCGCCTTCGGGAGGCAAGATGTGGTTGTGGCCACCATTTTTAAAGGGTCTCGATGTAAATTGACCACGGGGAAAAAAAAAGTAATCGAATAAAATGCTTAGGTCGATTAATTTTTCTAATCGACCAGTCGTCCCCAGCTCTCGCGCAATGCAATTACCCGTAACACCTCCACTGCCGCGGATGCCTTGCGTTGAACTTAAAATCCCTGAATAAAAAAATACACGAATATGTACAAAATATAAAATTTAATCGGCGAAGAGTAGTTGTGTAGGACACTGAAATACTTCACGCATTGTTGAGCCGCTGTGACATATGTTTCCCTGAGCTCTGAGACAGCGATGTGCATAATTATTGCTCCCAGCTATTGTCTAATGCACATATCATGGCAGCAGATGACTTGGGAATGGAATATCAATGCAGAATAATCAAGGCGCGCCTCGTGTAATGCGTCTAGCCCCGCTTTGGGAACAGAACTGCTATTTGTGTTTAGTTTGTTGTCCTTCCCCCGAACCTCCGATTAGCACGGTTGGCTACGTATGGTGCGAAAGAAGTTCAACGCACGTACATACCGCAGCCGACATCGTTCTGGAGCGGGCTTATGTTTCGGCCATGCTCACGTGAACTTATTCGGACAAGTGTGTCTTCTTCCCGAACCAACAGACGATTCTGAATATTAATTTCTGTAGGAGCAGCCGCCACCCATGCATTTGCATTCTGTTAAGCGCTGGATTAGACCACAACAGATATTGCTAAATGGGAGATGTGTGTGTGTGTGCGTGTTTTTACACACATGCTTCGTGTGCTTACATCAAGGTCTCAGTTGCATGTGCTCATGTGGATATTCATTGCAGTGGTTAGTATCCTGCGCTACGAAGTCGGCGACCCGAGTTCCATTCCCGCTCACGGCCAACACCAGTGACGATTATCTGAACCGGTCCTGGGCCTCTCCTCAGCTGACTCAGACTAAAATGAGTACCCGGTGCTGATGTACAAACATGAGCACGAGAGAGACAAAAGCGGCAGGGAATGGGCATTGGCCACGCCCTCGTGCAGTGTGCTGGCCTTAAAGGTGCTCGCTAACAGCACTTGCCCCAAAAGTCTGTTAAGACTATAGGGGGGGGGGATTTTGTCTTTGTGTGTGTCCGTGTGTATGTGTGTCTGTATGATTGTATTTGCATGCACGGATGCTAATCTTTACGTCTCTATATATGCCTGTCTGTATGTACTTATTTATGTGTATGCGTCCGTATCGTATGCATACACACGAGCACATACGATCTCAGCGTGTGTGTATGTGTGCATGCATTTATGTGTATGTTTATGTGTCTATATATCTCTCCGTCTGTATGTATTTATGGGTGTGTGTGTGTGTGTACGTGTATCTAATGCGGTCGTGTGGATAGCTGAAGTGTCGCGGTTAGGTGCGTGGCGTATCGCTGTCATTTTCAGTCAGGTCAACCCACGGCACTTGGGTCTGTCCCATGACCTCTTCTTGCCAGCGAGCCTTCGACACTTCACGTGGACTCAACGTGTATCTAGTCTGGCACAAGTGTTGCGGTGCTGTCACCGCCAATTTATGGCAAATGGCGGCTCTTGTTGTATTCATTAGCGGAGCGCGGGAGAATCCAGGAACATTCACCGGCATAATTAATTGTCAATTTGCATGAGGATGAAAGCATGAAAAAAAATGTGTTCCTTTTTAATAACCCATTTCTCTGCTTCAGGCCATTTCCTAATGAAGAGACCACGGATTACAATGAAGACATTTACAGAAGCTTGGAAGAGATGGCCGAGTAAGTATGTTATTTGTCAGATGTGACACGTTTGTTTCTACTGTAATCAACGGTGTGTTGGTAAAATTAGCAACTTTTGGGAGCAACTAATGATGGCACGAACCATCCCAGAGCTAAATTATTCATATTGAGATAAAATATTGCGTGACTTTTTTTTATTTTACAAAAAATATTATATTTTGCGTTCATGCATCGAATTGCGTTGCAATAAACTGAGTGGCAGGTGAAGTGAAGGCCTTAGATAGAAACATATCTGCAATATTTTATTGCAATGTCACTGGCTGCTGATGGTAAAGGTGTTTTTCTAATTTCGTCAGAAATTCCACTGGAGTGTTTCCAGGCAGACAAGGCCCCCAGTCAACCTTCGCTCAGTAGGAGGTCACTCGTGCCTCTCTTCTCCCCTTGTAGTCTTTAACTGCCTTGCCCCACCTCTCTGTGCTGCCGAATCCCTGCCGCTGCTCAAATCCAGGCTCAAGACCTTCATTTTTTCCTGTGCCTATGACTGACTGCCTCTCACTCCCAAAGACTCACACAGAGACCCATAGACTCAAACAGAGACCCATAGACTCACAGAGAGACCCATAGACTCACAAAGGGACACGTAGAGTCACACGGAGACCAATAGACTCGCACAGAGACCTATAGACACATGGAGAGTCAAATGGGCTCGCACAGATCCATACTCACAAAGAGACCCATAGGCTTGCACAGAGACTCATACACTCCCTGCCCCTATTCAATTCCAGTCTCAAGAGCTTAATTCCCCCCTCTATACCTATGACTGACTCCCTTTCTCTGCAAATGAATAAGTCCATGGTTTACATAGAGCGTCTTAAATGCGGTCGCATTGAGCGGCCTAATGGTGGGCGAGTTGGAAGGAGTTAAAAGTTGTATCGCTTTAGCGGGAACAAGTCAGCCTGCTCACGAGCATCATAGTGTTCGACTTGGCACAGGCCACAGAATCGCTTCCCTGCTAAACACTGTGCTCCAAATCTGTATAGGTATTTCAGCTGGTAGCAAACAGCATGATTATGTACTTCCCTGCACAGTTGACAGTTTCTTTAATGTTTATTTTGCAAAGAATTTGGTTCTCGAACCCAAGTGCTCAACTGGCAGGCTCGTGTGTGCTCGTTAATGATGTTCAGTGTGGATCCCTTTCATGACGTCGTTGACTTCTTTCCTCCAATTCCTGCTCTGTCACGTTCAAAACAAGGGAGGCAAACAAAATCTCGCTCGTGCGCATGGAATCTTATCACGCTTTCCAGCGTGCGCCCTGTCCCCAAAAGTGTTGAGGCAGCAGCACGGAAGCCAGTAGGTAGCTGTCGGGACAAAAACGTGGGTTGGTTTTGGGCAACCCTTTGGTCAATTTGGCTTGTTTACTGTAGACTACGTTCCTAATAGCCACACAGCTTCATATAAAATTGTATTTACGTTTCATCATATTTTGCCAGAGTTCTTGTGGTCTCATGTTAAAGACAGACCGACAGACAGGAAAGGCGAACACACATGGACAGAGCGAATGCATTAAATGCTTTTAACCTTGGTTGTGTAGGGTCAAACATAGCCGCCAAAAATCTTAGAATCGGCCTGAATTTTCAACGTGCGCCACGTCACTCAGTGGAGCCGTTCGGGAGTTGAGCTCGCTGAATTATTGAGGTTGGTTTTGTACCAACGACCGAGAGTCCCCGGGCGGGCGGCTGTTAAATTCACGGCGCGAGCGGGGCGGCCTGAACAACCAGCGGAGAAGGTCCATTTCCACCGTTCCTCCCCCGGGACGTGATTGAACTGCGGACCTCACAGTGGCACTCGGCAACATCGCTTCTTGAGGGCACCGTGCAGCCACTGGCCCAGGCGAATGGAGCAAGCCAACAGGGCCAGCTCGAGCCGCAGGCGGAAGTATTTCGATTCTGGAGAACGCGGCCCGTCCGAGCCGAGCCGGGTTCAGCAAACCTCCCTGCACCAGGGCAGCGCCGCTTGTGCGGTGGGCTAACAGGAGGGAACGCGTCCGAGTTGGACGTCCACCGCGGAGACGGAGCGGTGGAATCGGCTCGCGCGCACTGCAGAACCGTGAGAGATGGCGGCAGCGGCTTGGGGAGTGGATAGATCATGTCCCGCGCCTCCGATTATCACAGTTAGTTAGGTACGGTGTTGAAGAAGTTCAGCATGTGCTTGGGCTAAATATTAATCTGACTTGAGGAAAACATTTTAAGAAAATGTTTAGGGAAAATAAACAATGCATGTCAGTAATATTAATGTAATGCTTTACGCAATATATTATTTTTTTCCAAAGAAAAACAGAAACTGTCCACTTATGCAATGGGCACGCATACAATCCCCATGAGTTCAGCTTTGTTAAACAACACCAGCCACCCTCATTGCAATCAACCTTTGGATAGACTGGCCACCACCATGGAAATATGGAATTGCCAGCACTGGCTGAGGCTGCAACAGAAATGAGTGCTGTCACCGGGAGCTTTGGGATTAGCACGGTTGGCAACGTACAGTGCGAAAGAAGTTCAACGTACAAAAATACGTAATAGTTTTCCCGACTCTTTCGCGCTGACGAGACAACATGGAAGAGGAACCGTGGGGGTACCCAGCCTACACCACAGTTACGTGAGGCACACGCGGGGCGTACACGTCCACCCATAACACAACGGCATCCAAGGGACGCGGACGGAGCGGCGAGCGATGGTGGCCGTGGCCCCGCGCGATCGCGGAGACAGCTGTCGTGGGCTCGGGCAGCAGCAGGGCGAACGGGAGGAGGGCAAACGCCTCTGCCCGGCGTTCCTTGCCCGATGTGCCGCTAACGTTTGCGCGTCTCCCCCGGCAGCGAGCGAGAGATCGAGAACGAGGAGGAGCTGTACGACTGCGTGCCGTGCGACGGGGAAGGCGACGAGATCTACGAGGACATCATGAAAGTGGAGGCGCATCCCCCATCGGTAAGTCACCGGCACCGTCTCCCTGGTGCCCACCTCATCCCGGCCAAGTCCCTCTTGCCCCAGCACTGCAGCTCCCCCCCTACCCATTGTTAATGTAATGCGAACTTTAGAATTCAGTCATGGTGTTCGTCTCGTCAATGACAACCTGTATGTTTGTATGTTGAGCCTCTTTTGCAGCGTACATCGCCAACCGTGCTAATTGGAGATGCAAACTTGTGGATATTAGTCAAGTCTGAGTCTGGGGATTACATGTAGTCACTGTTCATCTCGTCGACTAAAATAGACGAATGTTCCATCTGCTCTTGAGTTTTTTCAAATTATGGGGTGTTAAGGGCTCGCAATTTTTTCCCCATTGGATGTTATCAGGTGGGCCAATCATTTAACTCGGTAAATCTTTCTATTTACATACATACGTAACCAATCACAACGTTTTGGTCTCTTCCTTGGTGCACGGTGGACGTGATATTTTTAAACTCTAATTTAAAATACTAAATGATAAGTCTGTGTCTTCAGACTCGTTAACTTCAAGTCGACGCAGTCGGCCGTGCTCTTCGTCTTAGGTGGGCAGCAGTCGTAGCCATCGCCACTCCCCACGGAATTTGTAAATTCATAGTCGGTCATTGAATAAAAAATAATAATTAAAAAACCCCACTTCATCGCTGAAAATTGTCATCACTAATTTCATTCACAGGCTTAACACTTCCACCCTCACTGCAGCCAACGCCTCCCAGGGGCTTCATCCAGACTTTGGAGCATGTCCTTTAGGCACCTGGGTCGTCCTTCCCCCGACCCCACCTTCATAGCCGTGCCCTGCTGGCTAACTGTCGGCTCTTAATTGGGAGCGACTGCTGTGTGTGCTGCTAGCGAGGTGCTGTTCGGGGGCCAGCGTCGATGGTGGCAAGGTCTTAAGGGGGTGCTGTTCTGAGTGGTTTCATATTTCTTTTTGCCAATTAGACCTTCCGCCTCCCCGTTACATTTTTGGCCGTATTACAGTTGGGAATTTTGTGAGTTCAGTTTCCAATCGAGGACGGATTTTGGTTCATCATTTCTTGGTCGTCGACAAAGCGGCTGCAATACAACGTCGCATTTCCAACTTGCCGAGGAATGAGGCGTCGTCGGATATGTATAAATGTTAAATGTGTGAATGTCGGTAGAGACGGATAGTTATTCCATGCACAATCACTGCACTGGGTGTGGGCGTAGGTCAACTGGCCAGGGCATATATGTGATGTGACGTTGAAATTGAGTTTATTTTATTTAACCAGGTGAGAACTAGAGACCAGAATGAGTCTCATATGCGAAAGGGACCCGGGTCATTCCTCTTCCAGCAAAATCTCAATTGAGTCATTTGCACGTTACCATGTTGTGGAAAACCAAGAGTGGTCATTCTTTGGAGAGACTCGTTGCTGACAGGAATGTGGACATTCCACCTCTGGCTAAAGCACCACCAATGGAGAAGTGCCCAATGCTTCGTTTGGACAGGGAGGCGCATTACTTGTTTTTGACTTTTATTTATCCTGCTGCTGGTTTCACAGCAAAGTAACCCATTTAATACTCGATATAAATGATGGGAAACTCACCAGACAGGAAAGTGCCTGCAGGCTGGAAACAAATGAGAGTATTAATAATGAAGCACGAAAACGGTGATTTTTCAAATGGTTCAATGACGAGAAAACCCATCACAACGGACAAGTTAAAACAGCTGGAAATAAATAGATTTAAGAAAAAAATACACAAGGTCTTCCTTACAACCTTCCTCAATTCAAGAACTGAATGTGTGACATTTTGTCACTTGTGGCCACATTCTCTGAACTCCTCGAGTTGTGGTCGAAGAGACAAAATGGCCACAAGCGGTGATTTCTAGACAGCATGCTCGTGACCATAGGATCGGTCCTCTCAACTTAAAATGAGTAAAAAAACACAAGAGCTGGGTGGATCATTACATCGCCGGATCGTGAGAGATGGCTATGGCTTGTGGAAGGCCTTCATCCAGCATTGAATTGATCACGGCTGATGACAGCAGGGAGACAACAATGAGGGGACCATGTTATGAATGATCAGTACGGTGTAGCCACCATTGTTTGCTGCTGCCGCTGTCTTGTCACAACCTTGCCTTTTGCCATCGCCATTGTCGATGAAATAACTCTGATTTAACCCCTGCAAGTCAGATTGAGCATGAGCATTTAATTCCCTGAACCCGTGGCCTTCGCGCTGATGAACTCCTGCCATTTACTTCCAATCTACAGAATTCCCTGAGAAGCGCGGAAACTTTTGGTCCCAATTAAACCTTAATTGACCCTTAATGCCGGCGCTAATGGCAGCGATGCTCTGTTGTGCCGCCACCTTTAACTGTCGCTGCGCTGCCGCACTCCTCTTTGTTGCTGTTGTTATATTTCTTGTTTGTCTCTCCGCGCGCTCGTTTCTGTCTCTGACTGATTGCTGCCCCCCCCCCCTGGCCTTGCTTCCCTTCCTGCTTACGCTCTCCTTGCTGGGGCTTGCAGCTGCGACCAGCTAACAGCTTTACGTCTCTCTGCCCTACGCTGCAGAAGCGCCTGGTCCTGGTAAGCGCCTTGCCCTTCTCTCCATGTTTATAACTCGTTGGCGTCACCGTTCGCCTCACCGCCATTTCCAGTTCTCTATTGATGCTTCAGGTTCTGAGCTCTCGGATGGGGCCCTGGTTGCTCGGAGGTCTGAGGGCTGAGCTGACAAAGCTGAGATGCTGAGTTCGAATCTCTCTTTTTGTGTATCACGGATCCCGAGCACAGCGCCAAAGCCCCAAAATGCCAACTGGCCAGCAACAAACAACACGGTTAGAGTAACAGACAAGAATGAATGCGCTTCTCAAATTGAGCAAGTTTGTGAGAACTTGGGAAGAGAGATGATGAGAGGGAATTCCAAATTCCCGAGCAGTACTTAGGTCGGAATTCATGGCATCACGCACTCTGGCCTCTTGCCTGTCCAGTGCGTCGCGAATGAGCGAGGGTGAGGGAAGGTGCAGGAAGAGAATGGTTGTGTGCTGCAGAGCGGCGTGCGAACACAGCGACAGTCTGGTAGATGAAGTCCTCGACACGGGTTAGTGACACACGGCTCAGCGGCAGCGGCGTTCCCCGCTTGTTGTGGAGACTCGCGGCTCGCGGCTCGAACCCCGTTAGGCCGATCCTGGTTATTCCTGCAAAGGGGCATTCACCAAAGAGTCCTCCGCGCCCTCTGCTTCACAGTGGACGTTCAATATTCCGTGTAGTCATTTGAAAACAGCGGGCGATTTAGTGGTCCTGGTGTAGCACTTCCAAACTGTCCAATCCGGTGGTGACACATTAATGTTTAAAAATGAAGAAAATCAGTCAATTCAGGTGTCAACGGGCACACAGCAATGGGTCGTGGAGACGTTTTGTAGGTAGATTTCTTTTAATCATCACTTTTATTTTAGCCCGTTCCAAACTGCCTCACGCGGTTGGCACCGTCACTGCTGCGAACCTGATGCTGGTTTCCTGCCAAAGTCAGGGGTCAGAGGGCAGGAGGGCGTGGCCTACGTGTTTTCCTGCCTGGGTCAGCATCGAGCTCTCATCAGCCACCTTGGCTGGCTGGGGATTCAGTTTATAGCATTTTGATGACTATTTTAATGGGGGAAGGGGGCGGCTTTTATCTGACTAACTGACACCATGTCCCACAATGGCATCACGATACAGATACGGCAAATTAGAAAATTATCTTGTATATTACTAATTTGGGATTATAAAAAGCAACATCCTCCCCCCACCCACAACTGTGGAACTTCTGCAGACTGTTATAATAATAATGCAATTTATAACGCGCGCAAATTTGCGGACCTAACAGCCGCAACTCAGAGGCGTGGAGCAATGGTAGAATTGATAGCGGTGAACAGAATAGTGTCGTCCGCATATGTGTGGTGCTTGACACCGAAGCTTGAGATACGAGGTGGCCGATCGGGGAAGTGTAGGCTGTGAACAGCAGGGGACCGAGAACGGAGCCCTGGGGGACGCCACATAACGCTTTTGTCTCAGGAGATGTGGACGAGCCCACCCTGACTGAGGATTGATGATCAGAAAGGTACAACAGTATCCACTTGAGTGCTGAGCCACATATACCGGAGTCGGATTTCAGGATTCGGGAAGTAAGGAGCGAGTGGTTGACGGTGTCAAAGGCTGATGAAATGTCCAGACATACAAGAGCAACGATTGAGCCGGAGTCAATAATCATTAAAATGTCATCGAGCACTCTGGTGAGTGCTGTTTCTGTGGAGTAGTTTGGACGGTGAGCTGACTGGAAGGAGCAGTAGTTTGGGGAGGAGGTGATGTGGGGTTTTAGCTGGGCGAGGGCGAGTCTTTGAGGAGTTTAGAGAGGTTTGAGAGATTAGTGATGGTACGATAGCTAGATGGGTCATCCGGGTCGAGACTTGGTTTCTTTAACAGGGGGGAAACCAGGCCAGATTTGAGGTTAGATGGAAAACACCCCATAGAGAATGAGGCATTTGCGATGTTCCTGATTATGATGGCAAGTTCCGGAGCACATTGTTTGAACAAAGAACCTGAGAGGACATCGGGTGGAGATGACTTCATATGAAGTGATTGAATCAAAGAGAAAACGTCTTTTGAAGACACCGGCTTGAACGTGGTTAGAAAGGTATCTGGTTGAGTGTTTTCAATTTCAGGAAACGGGAGCAATGTGAGGGAAGACGTGCAGGAGTTTGCGATGGTCATCAGCTTGTTGGTGCAGTAAGCTTGAAAGAGGTGGCAAGTTTCAGTGAGGCCAAGGGATCGCTAAGGTGAGGGACCATGGTGCTACCAGGATGTAAAAGATCCTGGAGGGTTTTCCAAAGGATGCGTGGTTTTCCGGTAGCTGTTTTGATGCGTTTTGCAATGTAGGAGGAACGTGAGGCAAGGACAAGTTCGTTAGTTTTCCTGCAGACAGCTCTGTAGGCAACTCTGTAGGCAACTCGATCAGCAGGGAAGACTACTGTGGGACGCGATCCTCTCAAGGTGCCTCCTGATTCGCTTAGCAAGGATGGCGTCTCTTGAGAGCCAGCGAGTGTCGTGGGAAGGCTGCCGAGTGGTTCGTGGTTTGAATGGTGCCAGCTTGTCCAGCGCCACCCTCAGGTCAGCTTCGAGTTGAAGAGCGCAGACAGTTGGATCGGATGATGGGGATAACATTGCAGGCGAATTTGCGAGGAGGTGCTGTAGAGTATAAAACTTGATACCCCTGAAATTACGGGAGTGGCAGGTGATTTTAATGGTGATTGGCTTTTGAAAACTCCCAGTGCAGTGATGCGTCGACCCTGGTCTCTGGCACCTTGCTTCATGACAGCCTTGCGCAGTAATAAGGGGCCATCCATTGAGTACGTACGCATGGAGGGGGGAGGGGGGTTAACCCAAATTCGTACGCTTGCGTATGGGAGGTCTACTGACAATGTACGTATAGGAAACGGGGGGGGGGGGGGTGAAGCCTCGATAATAATTTGTCTACATTTGCCTTCAAATGAGCCACAGTTCAGTTTCTTCAGCTGTCAGACAACAAGTCCTGCCGGGAGAAGTGGGACTGTGGGAGAGGTGTCACTTCGTGTGCCACGTGCCCCCCCTGACTGCAGCTATCACGCAGCTCAGCAAAATAAGTGGCCAAGTTACACAACTTAATTTTTTAATGCAGCCGGCGGTGGACTATCTGTTTGCTTAAACACGTTAATATTATTAATCGTTGATCGTTTCTGCGTGGTTAAATATCGGCCGTTCTATAGGATTGGGGGGGGGGGGGGGTGCGTCAAGCGAACGTACGCAGGTGGGGGGGGGGGGGTGTGTGAAAAGTACGCGTGCGTACAGGGAGGGGGGGAGGGGTCAAGTTTTGAGAGATTTTTGCGTACCTACTCAATGGATGGCCCCTAATGCCACAGATATCCAAAGCAGTCATTGGTTATGGGAGGAGGAATCTGAGTGAATTTCACGATAGCAGTGACCATAGTAGTGGCCAGAGAAGAGTAATGCATCTCAGCATCCACCTGCTGATGAAAGCGCATTCTCGAGTGCGGCAAAGTGACGTACAGTGTTCAGATTTGTCACATTATAAACATCGGCTCAGGTACATTTGAGTCATTCGCTCACTTTCTCGTATTATTCACATCCGTCACTCGCTCAATAAAACCTTCCATTTACACAGTATTACCACTATACACGGACTCACTCAGTAACCATTACAGTAGTTTCTGCCGAAGCTCGAGTTTAAATGCCATCCTCAATTACTAGAAAAGAAACCCCATCACATTATGCTGAGTGCTGCACTCCATTTGGCTACATTCCAGCTCTGAGAATTGACCGTAATTGGATAAACATTGCATTTGTGTGGGACCCAAGGTAAAATTTTGACTTAAAACTTTCGTGACTGCAGGAATTCATATTCTTGGTTCTTTCGGTAAAGTCACGTAGATAGAAAATAAAAATAAAATAATTTTTTTATTTAAAATAAAGTAAATAAAAAATAAAAGCAAACAACCCACGACGTTTCGATCGCAACACAAGCGGTCTTCGTCAGGCCGCTTGTGTTGCGATCGAAACGTCGTGGGTTGTTTGCTTTTATTTTTAATTTAATTAATTTTCAATTTTTATTTTATATCTACGTGACTTTACCGAAAGAACCAAGAATATGGGACCCAAGGTCACTCGAATGATTTTCAGCTGTAGCTCTGTTACTTCCACTTCCGTCGGCTTTTCTCGAGCACAACAGTTTTGCATTACCGTGCGAGAGATCCGGATATTTTGTGTCTTTGGCGTGATGGTGATCGAGATATAGCACAGGCTGCTTTGACAAGCAAGTTATTGGTGCAAAATGCTGATGCGCCGTCATATCCTGCCACATATCCTTGCCTGATCCACAGTCTGAATACAGTTGCGAAAATGTGCACCATCACAGCCTCTTCGGGGGGACTCTTAAAACATATTTTCTCGCTCAAAGAAACACTTAACGATTCAACAATTGTACTGTGCAGGGCCACTGTGAATATTTAATTTGTCCTGAAATATTTATTAAAGGCTTCCTATGAAGTCATTGTTATAATCCCTTTCCCTTGCGTTGCTTTCAATGCTTTGTTCATGAGGCCACTTGAAAATAACGGCTGTTTTGTTGTTGTTTAGGGCAACGCTTAATATGTTAAAGCCACCAATTTGGGATCAATCGCCTCGCACCTTGTGCGGTGAAATTTTGCCCACTAAATCAAGATGAGGGTTGAAATATTTCATTGAATAAGTAAATAAATAAGTAAACGAGTTCCCTCCCATAACCTCATGAATTGAATAAATAAACCTCTTTGATGATCTCCCATCTGGCTCTTATGTTTTTAATACAGACAGTCCCAGGTCATTGTACTTGCCTGATAAGTCTTTCATGAAAAAAAATCAATGGCTTCATGAGTCACACACCCTCCTGCTCAGCGCCCTCCTGGCCCTCGCACCTGGAGCCTCTCGCTTGCTTGGCCCTGCGGTGAAGGGCGAACGGAGAAGCCAATTGTCCAGTGATTGATTTCCTCGCCGAGATTTCAAGAAGGTGTGATCCTCCGTTT